TCAGCAAGCAGTATTTCTGAAATTCTGGCATGTCTCTTTATTTTCTTTTGTGTCTATCTACAGTTTTAGGTTTGATGCCTTGATTACAATGCTGGTGTGATCTGGTAATCTCTCATTTATATTTTTTGAATGAGTTCTTTTGTTGAGAAACTCAGAAAATATGCCATCATTTATTGCACATTTGTCTGCATTGCTGTATGTTGCATAAGCAATATCTTCTGGGAGTTTGTCCCAAGGATTTACAATTCTTGAATTGATGATTTGAATGTGCTCCTCTTTTACGCCATTTGTTCTTAAATCATCAAGAAGCTCTCCCAAGATTGGATTGCTATCTCTACTAAACCTGCAGTTTGTTTTAAGTTCAAGAAGTGTGTTGGTATTTTCTCTCCAAAGATGCAAATCTTTTTTGACAATAGAGAGTCTCAAACCACAGGTTTGAGTTGATTGAAGCTGCCTACAAAGACAATTGGAAGATTGCTATACAAATTATATGATGGTGGCTTGTCACAAAATCAGTTCAGATACTTACTCAATGTTTCAATTTGTTTGATGCTACTAGCAAATGATATCTCATCAACAGTGAGTAGACAAGTCTCATTTTCCCATGCATCATCCTGAGTAATATGATTGGATCTGTCACAATAAAGATGGCAAGATTTATGGTGTGTCGTTGTGGTTTCTCCACTGATTTTAACTCCTGCTGTTCCAGTCATGCATGTGATAGCCAGAGTTCTGTTGGAAATGTTTGCTCCCAATTCTTTGCAAMACATCTTACAATAATGTCAAACATAATGGGTGATTCCCGATTTATAGAAATGCTAAACTCGTCATTTATCATTTCTATAATAAGGGGAGGAATAGTACAAATTTCAACAGACAGACTGCAAGCATGCTGGCTCAATGCCAGTCTTTTGTTGGAATCTATTAGTAGAAATCTGGCACATGATAGATTTAGCACATTTAGAATGGGGTCATTTGACCCATTCTAAAAATGCTATATCTACTAGTATTACAAAATGTGCTAGATTTTTGGTCGGGTTGGGGTTGGGGCATTCCTAAATGAAAAAATAGAATCATTGCTGTTTTAGCATATTTTCCATTGCCAACAAGTTGTGATCAGTATCTTTTGGATGATTGATGTTACCATCAATGAGGATGCCTCCGCCAAAGCTTTCCTCACTGTTCCCATTTGGAATTTTTCAAGTGATTTTCTGGTGCAGGGTGTGGAGTTCACCAATCAATTGTTGTTTCTTTTTTTCTTCTTTGATTTGATTCCTTTTGTTTTGGTTAAGCCAGAGAGAAAAAATACAAACAGAAACATCTTCAGGTTTATCAGTATTAGTAGTAGTAGTAGGAGGAGGAGTTCATTGACTGAGCGAGTTCTTCTTACTTCCTGCTAAGACCTCACGAAAGTCACACAATAAGCACATGGATTATCATTATGTGTAACGACTGAAACTTCGGCGAGTTTCTCATTCGTACACGGCAAACTCAGTCGAATGAAAACAAAACGAGCGTCGTCAACCAAGAAAAATGATCTCAAAAATAGAAAACATGAACAAATGCGCGCGATACATTGAAACTAGATATCTTCAGATACGAGGAACCAAAAACCGTCATTTTATCTCGGAGTCTACACTATTGGAACTTTCCTCGTAATTGATCCTATCCACCAATTCGGCTCGACCGTTAGTTCTCTACGGTACTATCTGACTCCCACGTGCACGGCATATGATTTTATTTCCCACGATAGAATGGATTTTCAAATTGGAAGCTAATTTTTGTTGATTTTGCACCCGCCAAATCTGGAACCAACTCGACACCTGTGATTGCGGGCGTGCCGCATCAAAAAGGTGAAGAAATCTACAGTTTACGAGGCGCCATTACACCAGGTCTGAAATGGATCTACGAGATTCCGTTACACACAAGCCTCTCCTATCCAAGACTGCCAGAAGATTCTGAACAACTGACGATTCTTGGTTCCCGCTGTATCGAATTGGAGTTTGTGCCAACCAAGCCGTGATTGTATCTCGTACAGTTCCCATAAAACTCCAATTGTTAGACACAAAAATCCGACAAGAGCAAGGATAATTTGGTCCGACCACTGTATATTGCTAGTCATGAAGTTCTCCATCTTTCGGCGCAATAGGCGCCGGGCATCCGTTGGAAACGCATCGATTCTCAACGAGCACGAAGCTATGGTTGATCCGTCGATCAGCTCGGACAGCGATACTAGCACCACCAGAAGAAACCAATCGTCGAGAAAGAAGCATCGGCTGTCTCGCCAGGAGCGACAACAGCGGCAACGACACCGACATCTTCATCGCCAAAACTATCCCTATGGTGCTCTTCCAGAGAGCATCAACGACGGAATCGATGGAGACCTAGAAGGCAACATCATTAACAAGAACGATCGGCAGCATTACAACGAATACCGAGTGGCGGAATTAGGCCGTCCACAGAAACGTCTTTTACAGAGAAAGGAACGCATGACCTTCAAGATCCACGATTTCGCTGAGTGTCCGGAGAAGCGAGGAGAGTTCAAGATTTCTCCCACCCTGCACGCCCATGGATACAACTGGAAGCTTCAGGTTTATCCACGGGGTGACAATCGCTCAAAGAAAAACACTGAATATGTTTCATGTTTTCTCCATTACTTTTTCTCTCCGAACGACAAGGAAGCACCCGTCGCCAAGATTGGGTATCATTGTGGATCCCACAGGACACAGACTCAGATCTGCACTTTTGCAGTCCAAAAGGGGAACTCTTCGACGAGCTGGGGCCTCGAGAATTTTCTCAGAAGGGATCGTGTTCTAGACCATCATCTGGACGAAGATGGTGCTCTTGTCATACATATTGATATCCGACTTGCCATCGATCCAAAAATTGTTTGGTACCCCCCTTCGATGAGACGAGAACCAACCCTGATGCAGTTGTATCATACGTCCGAGGAAACCGGAGATGTAATGTTCCGCTTGAACGGGTCGATGGCGTCGTTTTGCTACAGGGCACACAAAATGATCCTCGCACTTCGCGCCAAGATACTATACGAAATCGTCAACGAAGAGTCTTCGTGCTCTGAGGTAGACTTGGACAGCTCGTTCGTCATCGTAGACCTTCCAGGAGTCGATCGAGATGTTTTCGAAGCAATGTTAGAACACATCTATACGGTCAAACAACCCACCATCGAAGACGAAGTCACGGCTCAAAAGCTTCTAGTGGCTGCGGATCGCTTTTGCCTTACCGATCTCAAGCTTTATGTCGAATCCGTTATGGTCGATCGATTCCTCACAACCGAAAATGCGGCATCCTTCTTGCTCCTCGGTGATGCCCATTCCTGCGCTTTGTTGAAAGAAACATCAATGGACTTGTATGTTTCCGATCCCGATTCCGTTGTTCGCTCTTCGGGTTGGGTTATGCTGGATCAGTCCGAAAGGATCCTAGCAGAGTTACTGGCACACACTCATACCAGTTGCCGCAATTGCTTTTACGAAGACAAGAAGAAAATTATAGGCAATATGCAGGATGCAAACAATAACAGGAACGACCAAGAAGAAATAGACGCTCCGAGCGTGTGCACGAACGATGTAGATGACGCGATGAATCGATTGGACGTCTTTTCTCTTCGAGAGCAGCTCTGTGAAAAGGGCCTCGACGTGGACGGAAGCCGCGAAACGTTGGTGGCGCGGTTGAAAGAATCACAGCAAGAAGCAGAAGAAAGGGAATAATTTCTCAAAAGAACAAAGACTCTTATCTACTTCTTCTACTACAAGTACCGTGATATTTGTGAATCACTCGTAAGGATAATCAAGAATGATGTGACAGCCTCATATCGGAATCTTCTGAAATGTACATCGATGCAGTACTAAAGTATCTACCATGCGTAACACAAAGCACTTTTCTGAAATGTCGACATTTCAAAGAAATTATTGTTGGTAGGGTGGTTCGTCGATTGTATTGTTTGAGGAAACCATTTTCTTTCTCTGCTGTGTCCGTTGCCTTCTATTCAATCGAATGACAACCAATATAAATGGAGAAGCAAAAGTGTTTGCTTGCCCCTCGCACCTGGTAACTTTTACAGGATTCGAATCTCTCGACAACATTCGTAGCTTTTTATAAAATCACTCCCGGTGGCACCTTTGACGATCACAACATTATCTGTGTCTGGCAACTCATGCACTCTCACTCTTAGAAATACCATAAGACTTTAGAATATTAATTACTAGAAGAAATAACATAATCATTACAAGAACTTGGTAGAGAACACGATGGACTTGTACCATAGGGACAGCAGATCACAAAGGCATTGGTCCTACTTTAAATCTTCTAACATTGCATATGTTAGTTTTTTGTGTGGAGGGGGGGGAGAGGGGAAATAAAAACGGGAAAATAAAAAATTGACACTCGGGAAATTGCCTTTAATTTGCTGGCACTGGAATTGTACTTAGTAGCTCTAATACATACCGGACGGTAGTCCACAAGATATTTTGGGGTTGTTAAATACAGAGTTGCTTTGGATGGCCATATTGTGAAAGTAGTCCTGTATTCTTTCCACGTCAGTACACAACATATTCTCAACAAAGTAGAGTTTTGTTTCTTAAAAGTCTTATGCCGTCTGGAGATATGAAGAATAGAYTTGCCCTGCGCTTGCGAAATCTACTCATGTCGCAAACCAAATACTGTTTACTGCAGAACATTCGAATTGCTGTATTCGACTTATTGAGCTTTTTAATTCTTAGTTTTATCCACAGGTTCGGATCTTCGTTGTCTTATGTAGAAGAGCTGATTTCAATAACTAATTATTTGGTACTTCACACGCACTACTAACCTTTCGATGGTTCTCGAGTATAGCAGGTACCAGTACGACAAACTTCTCTTGAGGGTGACTACTACGTCTCTCAGTCGTCGTACCGTTACTGTTACTGTCATCAAAACCAAATAAAGGAATTATTGCGTCGAGTCAACCCTGTACTCTAAAAAAAGACATAACCACCCAAAAAACCTATCTTTGAATCGCACGATACCGTCCGTTGCAATTGTGAAGTCACCAGGAAGTCGTCCTGATCGACTGCAATCACCTGCATGAAACATTTTTTGACGATGCACCATAGTATTACAAGAAGTGCACCCTTCCACACATTTTGATTCTTCCCACGACGCGATGCTTATCAAACGAGAACCGCTTGTCGATGGCATCGCAGACCCAACAGGTTCGAATTCTGATCATAGTAATTCCAATCCTGATGGTTCAGATTCTGTGACCTATAATTTCGCACGACTGCATCTTCCTCCCGAAGACGTCGACACCATCCTCTCAAACGAACTCTTGCAACTTTCCAGCAAAGATCGAAACGCAATCGATGAAGAGATCCACGGTGTGAGACAGATGGCACGCAAGGAAAATCCGGAATTCCTCAAGGCCGCCCTTCTGCGGCTTTCTGAGGAAATCGATAGGATACCGGACACTAATCCAATCAAGAGCGCATATAATAAAAGCCAGAAAATCGGAGAAACGTACGTGAACAAAGAGGATTTCCGTCTGCGATTTCTTCGTTGCGACTTATTTGATGCCAAGAAGGCCGCCATGCGGTTGGTGAAATTTTTAGACTTGGCCTTCAGTCTTTTCGGACACGAGGTTCTGGAGCGACCAATGAAAATCTCGGATCTCAGCATAGAAGAAATGAAACTTATGCGGATGGGCCCTTTTCAAGTTCTGCCGTACCGCGATCGAAGCGGCAGACCGGTTGTAACCTGGGTCGATGATTTTGCTACCAAGCACGGAGACAAGAGGTTCAGGGTACGTTTTTTGTATTTGATCGAACGCTTTCGTAAAGGAATACTTTGCGATAGAATGAAGTTATCAAACTCCAGGGGCAATTATGCAGTCCGTTCTTCTGCGCTTAGCATTCTTCACTTATTCTTCGCACCATTCCTCTCATTGCGTACACAGGCGAAAATGACGATGTATATGATGTATGCCTTGTCTGATGATATCGAAAGTCAACGAAGAGGCTTCGTTCATATAACCTGGCCCGGTTCTAAACCAATTGCGGCCGTACCCGACTTGGACGAGTTAGATMTAAAACTAATGCAGGTGCTGCCAATACGATTGTGCGCCGGCCACTTTTGCGTACCCGATAAGCCGTTTTTCCATATCATTCGATCAATGTTTGCTATAACCATGGGCTCTACCATGAGGAGTAGATTAAAATTTCATATCGGTGAGTGTTGTACAAGTATGACAATACCAATTCCGTAAACTATTTTCTGTGACAGTCACTGTTTACGTTTTTCTCGGAAGAGATGAGGTGTTGCACTGAACTGTTTGTTGCTATCTTGCTTTGACAAATCGTATTAATTCTAGGAGAACCAGTTGAGCTAGAATACGCGCTAAGGAGTTTTGGGATTCCATTCGAGTTGATCCCAGTCACCGGAACGGGAAATGTTAAGACTGCTTATCACAGACAATGGATTCGACTTCGGAAAGCCATCGACAACGAGAGGACTAAAGGAATCGGAGACGGTTGTTCCATGATCGAGATCCCGCGGTCTGCCGACGTCATATTTCGCACGGGCAATTCGTTGACCTGTCACCCCGGAAACTCGATATTCCAAGACGTTATACAATCAAAAATACAGCAACACTCAACCGCAACACAAGTTGAGAAAATGACCATTACCAAGGAAATAATTGAGCAGATCCAGCGCAACAACGGTCGGTTTTTACAGTGGGACAAGAATGGTTGGTGGATTGAAATCGAGGGCAGATCTCATATCCACGCCAAGGTAGCTGTCGCTGTAAGGGACTTTAAAAGCAAAGTTKTAGCTAAAGCGAACCGACAGAACTGCCAAAGTGGCACCTCTGTCTTTCAGAATCAGGATGGAAAGCGTAGAAAGGTCACGCACAATTTCGACTCGGATGACGATGTTAATGAAATGAGGTGCTCCCTGTTGTCACTCGATACTTCCGYCATGTTTTAAAAGCCTTTTATTGGGACTTGTAATCCTTCCTTGTGATGTCCACTGCAAGGAAATATCTACTCTCTTGCAGTACCGACAACAGGAACGACGACAAAGATTCAAGAGCACAGCCGATCTTAGCCTTGTGATATGTTTTCTCCTATCATTCATATGAAACCAAACAGCACACGCCTGCCACTTCTAAAGAATCGTTTTAAAAAAAAAGCATGACTTTAGTTCTCTCCTTTTTCTTCGATCCATCCCGGGTATACGAATCAACCACTTTCGAAATTCGAATGCTGTACAGAATCGCAAAACGTGCAATATTCTCAACTTCTCAATGCAGTACAACATATTGAATTAAATTAAATTAAATCAAATTAAATAAAAATTAAATTAGAAAATTGGAAGAAAAGGTAACTGCGTACTATAAATAGGAGTTTTGATCTTCGGCTATCAGAAGAGGCGATAATGAATAGACTTCATATGCAAAATGTATTGTCGCAGCCTCTGCTCTTCATCGGTTACCTCTATGTATCATACATATCTGTTACTGGTGGATGTTTGCTCGAAGCGAGCGATGCGCGCCCTTACATCGATTTTCCCAGGGAATAATCACAGTTCTTCCCTTCCAACGGATCCAAGAGCTTCGAAAAATCGGTTGCAACGGCCGGGGCTTCGTCGCCGGCGGCCGGTTCATGGGCTCGAAGATCGAAGGACCGATTCCCGAAGATATCCACGCTGCGGCAGGCTTCCATCATGACCCTGGCCACGTCGTCCCGGGGGACGGTTCTCGGAGAGCCCTCTCCGCCGTAGCCAACGCGGTCGTCGTCTACGCCGACGATCAATTCGCGCTCTCCCCCGGTCTCGTTGATCAGGCCCCCGGGATGGACGATCGTGTACCTGAGGTTAGAATCGACGCTGGCCCCGGCCTTCTCGATGAGGTACTTTTCAGACTTTCGCTTCCACAGAAGGATGTTTCCGCCCGTCTCTTTTCCCGTCTCCGGATCCTTCGTTCGCCCGAGCGTGTTGAGCATGTTATCGGGGTCCGTCCCGCCCATGCTCGAGCAGACGACAACGTGGCGAACGGAATCGCTGGCGACCCCGGCCATAGCATCGATCTGGTGTTTCTGGCCGATCCAGTCCACGATTTCGGGATCGCCCCCCTCGGGATACCCGAAGATCGGGCGGCCTTCCTCGGTGGTTTCCCCGGTGGGCCGGGGTGTTCCCGAGGTGCAGATGCACAGGGCGTCGACGCTGGTCCAGTCCAGGGCGGCCTTGACGGCGGCCTCATCGGTCACGTCGCAGACGATMAGGCTGGGAGCCTTGGAAGCACCACAATCTTCAAGCACCGCAACCTTGCTGGTTTCGGTTCGGACCAATCCAATAGGGTCGAAGTCGTCGTCCTCGAGCAATTGACGAAAGAGGGATTTGCCGGTTTGTCCCCCGGCACCACTCACTACCACTCTTTTTGGGCCGGTCGTAAGGGCACTGGCCATTCCGATCACAAGAAACAATGTGGCCACAGCGATGAGGTATGCACTGCTCATAGTTATTGGTCGAGGTGAAACAAGGTCTATCCTGCGGTTGTGGCCTCAGCGCGTTGCAGTTCCAACGGTTTCGAGACAGAACTCAATCTACGCTATCTACGGCACGATCGTACCGTACCTCCCGTACTTTACGTACGAGTACGATTATCGTACGTACCTTTCGCAAAACAATGTGAACAAAATCCAAAATCAGGATTTGCGTACGTGCGTCCGTATCTGCGCACGATCGTACGTACTGATTCAGATGATTCGATGGATCTTGACGAGGGATGGACTGGATACCGCGTACCGGTATGATCGGATGAAGGGATCGTCATTCGACTAGTAGCTCGTACTGTAAATTTAGTAGTAGAAGTACAATTTACTCATGCTTGAACGCTCCGGTTTGATTCCTATTTTGACTCGAATGATTATTCCAAGCGCACGAGGACAGATACGGTGTCGACAGATCATTTTGGTATTAGTAGTAGCAGAAGTGAAATGCCCACATAGCGACAGCAAACTTCAATCTCACATTCCAAAGTTCACCATCCCATGGACAATTGTGCGACCAAATATCATTCGATGATTCGCAAATTGCTCGGAAATTGTTTACATTGTCAACCAACTGATTGCTACTACTACTTCCTTGAGGATGAAAATAAAGAGTCTCCCAAACATTGGGTCTGRTGGAGCAGGTGAGATCACTGAATATACCAAGAGTCATATTCAATGGACAGAGGGTCGTGCTTCCAATACTACTACATATGCAGCCACCCTTAGATTAGTTTAAAGACAAAATTTTACTGAAATCTGGAACTTTTTCTCATTTGAATGCTTTTCTTCAAAATGTGGCTTAATTCTCTTCATTCCCCAATATTGATGGTTTGTTTATTTTCCAAAGCAGGTTTGATATGAAGGCTGGCAGAAAAGTACTCAAAACAAGACTGAAAGAGAACTTGAAAGTGTTTAAACCAGATAGTAAATGAAAATCACATTTGGCAGAAAAAACTTGAATAGTAGAAAGATGTTCCAGATTGTTTCAAATGCATGTCTTGACAATCCAAGCAGTAGTACACTCAGCAGCGTTGGTTTTAAGCCCATTGCTTTCATCTTCTACTGCGATGTTGCTGAACATGCATGAATTGGCTTGGCTTGAATAAATCAATGATGGTTCAGCAGAAAGGATAGGAAGAAGATAGTGAAAAGAAGTATTTGAAACGGCAGCAGGAGTACTTGGAATGCTGGCATTATCATAATGCGCAGCAGTCCAAATCACCAAAATATGGATGTTATGGCAAAACTTCTGGACTATGTACCTAATGACTATACACCGCTTTCCACCATTTGATTTTTTGGCTCCTTTCGCCAAGTAATTCTGCCTATAGATCAGAACAGAGGTGTTACGATCGACTGCTGTCACGAAACAAAACTTCAGAAGTTGACTGTGTTATAGACTGTTCAGCAAACGAAGCCACATCCTATCAATTCTGTTTCCATACTACCGTCCGAGTCAGTGGTGGTCTGGCTTTTCTTTCTCCGCTTTGCGACGCTTCCATCCTGGCGTTGAAAACTGTACGTGCTAGATTGAACGGATTGTCTATTGCTGCTTGTTGTTGCCCTGCCTTTGAAATCCCGAATCGCTACTTCTACCTTGAACAAAATTTTGCGACGAGACTTCATTTTGGTCCAGTACCCTCGGCTGTCCCATTGAAGGAAGGATCCATTGAGTTGCTCTATTTCCTTCACAATGTCTTCCGCCAAAACTGCTTGCGTGGACAACGACCCCGATTTGAACTCGTCGTGCTTCATTTCAATCAAACCACGGAAAAAGGCATTCCCTGGGTGGGCACTCGTCGTGGTTCCAGAACGAAAGAGCACGTCGTTGCTGTTCGGTAGCAGTATGATCGAGTCTTCGCCGTCTGAATTCGTAGTGTCTTCTGATTCAAGGAATTTCCGGACCTTTATCCATTGATACAAATGCGTCTTCTTGATATTTCCAGAATCGGTGATGGGAATCATTTCGGTCGGAATGCCGTATCCATGTACGCTATACCGTCGTTCCATGTCTGTACCTATGGTTCACCGGTGATATTAAACCCGGTCCACGTAGAATAAAGAAGAATGAGTTCCGAAACTGGAGCTAGAGAGATTTCTTTGGACAAACAGCATTAGCGACGTACCATCGTGAAATTTATACCGAACTCTTGGATAGCCAAGGACTAAAACCATGAAAGATCGAATCAATCGAAAGTAAAGTGTGTTAGGAAAACATGCATGAAGGGCAGCGATTCGTAATGCACTCGAAGAAACCATAGCTTTCAATAGCCGTCTGTTTTCCTTTGTGAAAGGCATATTAGTCTTGGAAAAATCTCCCATTGGCCATGCTACCATAACCACGCCTTTCCTTTGACTTTCGACGTCGTTGCCGGCTACAAACAAAATGTAGGTCGCAATTCTCGCCTGCATCGCAATGTAAACCACAACATAACAGGGATAAAATACGCAAGTTGTATGAGTTGAATTTGGACCCGCGATAAAACGATAAGATCTGGTGATGGTGACCAGTAATGCAGCAGAAAGTGTCGACAGTGCACATAACAACGTTACATCTATATGCCATCGACTTTCCGAACCGCTCATGGGAAATAAAAAAAGACCGATGAAGAAAGTGTATAAGAATCACCAAGCTACCTACCCTCATTTTGAAATCGTATGCAAAACCCATTGCCCCCACGTTTACAAAAATTGGTCTACCGCTTCGATCTCTATAGGGCAGCAATTGGTAAAAGCCCAACCGCAAAATCTTGATTTCTTCCCTGGATAAATCGCTGAGACGGATAGGTCTCCGCAAGACTTCGTCGTCGAACAATTCATCCAAGAAATCGAGATAGGCGACTATCCGGAACGCTGCTTTTCTCGCATCGAAGAGATCGCATCGAAGAAATCGCAGGCGAAAGTCAGGGGTATTAACATAATTGTCGTTTGGGAACAGTGTCTGGCTCTTGACGAAGGCATCTTTGGTTTGGATCTTGCTTAGTTCTGCGGCAAGATCAATAAGACTCGTTTGCACCAATTCAGCTGTCTCTTCGGGAGCCACGTTGTAGACGCCGTGAATCTCTTCGTCGATAGCTTTTCGATCCTTGTAGGAAAGCTTAAGAAGCTCCTCGGTCAGGGCACTGTCYGCTTCTTTGACGCTGCTAACTGCTATGGCTGGAAGAACATGGTCGTCGTCGCCTGCTGCAGCTGCGGTCGCTTTCATCACTGAATGAGTTACCGGTTTGTGAAAGCTAGGTATTATTGTGATGTAGGGTCGAGGAACGGTCTTTCGTTGGGAAATAATCTGATGAGTAATATATTTTCCTTCTTTTCTCTCGAACGGATACAATTGCGAAATGTATGTATGCTCTTTAGTGCCGTATAATTACGTGTTTACAATAAAGAGTGAGCAGAGTGAGTGGTTGAGCCTATCAGCACTGTCACTCACTATCTATTCGTGATTTACTACATGTTACTGCCTCACACCACCCCGCACTTGCAGAATCTAGTGACTCACTCGATTCAAATTTACTCTGACGTAGTAAATTTTGAAGAGGATCTAGATTATGACAAGTGGAGCAAGATATCGTGTTAATTGTTGTGTGTTGTTGTGTCGATATAGTTGCTTTATCCTCAACAAATGGGGGTTGTTGAGTAGGTGACAAGTGAGGGTATGTATAGTCTGGTTTTAGTCGTCCCATGAATATATCAGAATGTTCAAGGAACTTGGTTCTACCGGTTGGTTTGCTCAGTGAGTCACTGTAGTTCTCATCGGATCGTGTTTCAATAAAGTTAATGTGTTCATCATCAGTCCATTGCAGTATACTAACAAAGTGTTTCATTTCCACATGTCTTGTACGGCGAGTGGGTTGGTGTGCATTTGCCATCCTAACTGCTCCATGGTTGTCAGCTAAGATGGGTGTTGGTTTTGTTTGGGCTATGTTTAGTTCCTCCAGAATCCATCGAAGATAAAGTGCAGCTTTCCCTGCATCTGCCATATTGGTAAACTCAGCCTCCGTGGAGCTTTGAGCAATAGTTGGTTGTAATCGTGTTCTGTAGTATATTGCTGCTCCGGCTAACATCATGATCACTCCTCCCATGCTCCTCCTCTGTAGTCGGTCAGAGGCCCATGTTGTATTACACGAGCCATGAATTTGCAGCGGGTCCATGGATTGGTAGAATTTCATGAGTATACGAGGGTCAGTATACGGGGTTGGATTGGGTAGTTCCGGCAGATCAGTACGGGGGAATGGTCTCCAGTACGTGAGGCCTTCTTCCTTTGTAGCCAAGAGGTATAGAAAGATCTGCTTGACTGCTTCATAGTGAATTTTAGCAGGGCAATGTGAGTGTTGACTGAGTGTAATTACAGCAATGGAGATGTCAATGCGACATATTGTGAGGGCATATATTAGCTCCCCTATGCACTGTCGGTAGTTAAAGCCAGCCGTTTGTTGGAGTTTAATAGCTTCAATGGGATCAGTAGGGCCTTTTGTTGTTTGGATTTTCCGCTGATATGCTGCATTTTCATTCATTGGAGTTGGTCTCTTCCGTGTTCTTTGTGTTGTTAGGCTCCAACCATGGTGAGCTGCTATCTTTTCGATATAAGTGTGGCAGTGGAGATGGTTATAGTGTTTGGTTTGGTCCACGTGAATTCCATTGAATTTTCTTATAGTCCCCAGTATATTGAGGGGGTTAGTCATTTTATCTTGGATAAGCTGTCTTATGGTGTCACAAGCTGCTTCACTTTCATTCGCTATTAGGAAATCATCCACTTGTCGTAGGATGAGTGTGAGACCGGTGTTATCATGCTTATAATAGAGACAAGGTTCATGTGTTGTTGGTTTGAAGCCCAGGTTTGTGGTTAGGATATTAGAAATGTATTTATCCCATAGTCGTGGGGCTTCTGGGTGACCTTGAAGGGCTTTCTTAATGGGTATAACTTGTCCAGGCTTAATGGGATCGTTCTGGAGGCACTCTGTCCACCATTGCTGAAAGGGTTCATCAACCTTCATGTAGAAGGGAGATTTTGGAGCTGGAGCCTCAGCAAAAGCATTGCCGACGTCATACCCAACACAGATGAGGTTGAGAGCAGCTGATAGTGCCCAGGTTAGTCTGTGAATTGGTTGTTCCACACAGGCTGCATAGGTCTCCGCTAGGGTAACTGCTTTGCYGTATCTYTTGCCACCATTGCATGTTCCCCGTGATTTAGGCTCCTCAATTCCAGTGAGTGGGTTCTCTTTTTCGATATACGTCCAGACCCAGGGGAGGACAGTCTTATCTGGTGTGTTGTCTACTGGATCGCCGAACATGCCTACTTTGTGGTATCTGTTGAGCTGTTTCCATTCAGATTGAAGGAATCCGTCCCATTGCTGTGTTTGCATCAGCTTCCTCCGAGTGAGTTTTGAAATCTGCACTTGTTGAAGTACTGTTTCTGGGGAATCGATGGGCTGTGGCCACTGCTCCTTGGATATCCAAAGGTCCTGTCTGTAGTTGAGGGAGTGTAGATGGTGTGCAATGACATTCAATTGGTCTGCTTGGAGGGTGGGAACTCCTTCCCCGCTTAAAGCAAAGCCAATTAGTGAGCCAAAGGTGAATTTTATGGTTGATTGGTGAGTTTCTCGAGCATGTTGGATAGCATTGATAATATCCTGTCGATTGCGTATACTTTTGTCATCTACAGAAGTGATTATTGTTCCTCTGAGTCTTCTTTTCCATCCACGGATTCGTGTATGGGCAATAGTTCCGGGTTGTATGGTTGTTAGCTCCACTGCATGTGCTATATCTGGATGGCTGCTGACGATTATTCCCATGGTGGGATGGAAGCTATTCGTATTTTTAAGGGGAAGGGTGTGAGAGGTTTCTTGTGTATACATGTTAGTGGATATATCCAGTGTTTCCAGCTCGGGTATTAGTGCAGCTATGTCTGGTCGTTGGAAGTTTGCACGATGGATCCGTGCCATTACTTTTGCAGCTGCTGCTGTATAGGAAAGTGGTGAGTCCTGTATTATTTCCTGTACGATATTTGCAGGATTGCGTGGACGGGGATCCTTGATGTTAAGTTTCATTGGTGTTGGGTCTGGAACAGTAGTGTGGTCCTCGTTGTTGCCCTCTGTGAAGGTTTCCATGAGGTGAGATGCAGCAGGGGATCTGTTTGATGGTGAATCGCCGTATTGCAGTTCATCTTTGGAATGATGTCGAGCAGTTTTATCAGTTCCTGTGTGGATATCAAAGTACTTGATATTATCAGTTGTGGGTCCGTATCCAAGGAATATCCCATCATATGTCCATGGGTGTGTGGTTGTTGGCCGTGTGCCTGGTCTCTTTGCTGTTATTTTAGCGCCAAAGGTGATGAGATTGTCGACAAGGGGAACTTTCCCGGTGTACAGTTGTAGTGGGGTCATTCCAATGGCATTGTGGTAGGTCCTATTATAGAGCCATGTAGCATGGAGGAGTGCATCAGTCCAGTATTCTGTGCCGAGGCCAGCTGCATAGAGCAAGCATCTGATGCGTTCCTTGAGGGTTCTGTGTGGGCGTTCTGCAAGGCCATTTTGAGATGCCGTCTTGATTGAATCATATCCATGGTGGTGTATGGTGTTTTTAAAGTCATTGGAGTTGGCTAGTTCACCCCCTCCATCTGTCATGATCGTGCAATCAAGATGCTGAGGTAGTAGGTCAAGGAAGTATGATTTGTCTTCGGGTGTGATAGTATAAGAGTGTTCCTGGGCTGTGTGGCGGAAGGCGCGCGATCGGGCAAGATAACCATCGTCCGTGGTGGTAATGATTGCCTTGCGTGGGTCAGTAGTCTTGATACCATGTTTGGTGAGGAATTGATCGATGATAATTAGTGGGGGCTCTTTGGTTTTGAGTGGGAAGGTCCACAGTGCTCTTGTGGCAGCATCGATGATGGTGAGGAATCCAATGTGACCTTGGCGGCTCTTCTTGAGGGTGGGGAGTGGTTTCTCATTCTTGTGGAGGATTCCCTGGAGGTTGGGGGGTCCGCTTACGAATGAGAGGTCCATATGAAGGGATTGCATGGGGATGAATTTTTCTTTACGTGGTTTCTTGCGTCCAGTGTACTTGGTCATTTTGCTCTTTTCACAGAAAGGACAACGGAAGAATGGAGTGGAGGTAGGGAGAGGTGGGATGCCGTCTACAACCTTCTGTGTTTTAACGAGAGTGGCAGGTGAGATGTGTCCGTATCGTTGATGCCAAAGCTCTAAGTGTTTTAGTGCTTTGGATAGGCCTGTCGACCACGTTTTTGTACGGTTACCTTTATCGACTGCATTTACGTTAAATTGGTTGTCTTTCGTCGTCGTTGCGTCGTATTTTTGCACTTCCGCCGCGATGTGTACGTTTTCCAGCTCGTTGACGACCAGGACATTGTTGGATGTGTACCAGAGACCATTGTGAAGGCTTACTGTTTGGATTGATTCAATCGTTTGGTTAAGCTTGTTTATGAACTGTACTGCTCCTTTGCTGTTTGCTTGTCCTGTCTGTAGGAATGCATAGTAGTTACGTGATCCCCGGTAGTGTTCCGGGGATAGTACTGTGCCTGTAGATTGTGGCGTATAGAGTGTTTTCCAACGCATGATGTTTCCTTGGTCTGAAATGATGTGTATATGGCCCTCACCATAAGCGTATAGTGTGGTGTCCGGAGTTGCATCAGCTGAGAATACTCCAACTGGTACTGGTGAGTCGTATGGCGTGTAGTTATGTAATAGGTCCTTTTGGTTGGTGGCGGACATGTTTGCCCCTGAGTCGGCTTGCGGGGGTTGTATGGGGGAATCGTGCATTGGGTGTGCTGAATCTTGATTTTTAGCCGTATGTGTGGTCGCTATTAATATGCGTTTGCGCATGTTTTTCCTAAGAGTGTAATGGGGCATACGTATATACGGGTGACTGGTATCGTACTCAGATGCAAGGGAATCATCGTAGAACATGAAGGGGGTGAGGTCGTTGCCCCTTGGTGAGTATTCGTCTGTATTCATGTCTGTATATTGGTTTTCTTTGCAGTTCATGCATTCTTTGTTTGACGTTAACATCGTCTGTAGGGTGTATATGTATGCACTTGAAGTACTGTGCTTATGTAGGTGCTGCGGTCGGTCCTCGTTGCTTTTGCAGCTGGCTTGGGAATGTGTACGTAGATTGTGTGTGGCTGTGGTAGTGGGTTGAGGTTTATATGTACCGCAGTTCGGTGTTGCGGGTGGAGCTGTGCTCGTATCATATATAGTATTTGCTGTATCGTTGAATGGTGACGATGGTGAGGGGATCGTTGCTTGGGTTGCCGTATCGTCATGTTTGTCGTGAGGTGGTGGGCGTAGTCCATTTGTTTGTGCTGTTTTGTTGGGTGTGTCGCCTGATGTATGGGTGTGTGTGAAGATGTCATTATCGTGCGGAGTGAGTCGTGGTAATGGGATTCTGCGGTTGTCACGTGATAGGGATCCGTATTCATCCCGCGTAGTAAGATTGTAAGATGATGGGGGATCATGTTGCGTTGTAGGCCGAGCTCCGCTAAGAACATGGCATGTATCCTATTCTTCATCTGGTGTCACCGGTGAGAAAAGCTGGGCAAGGTCTTCCCGGCCACGTTCATGGTCTTCGCGTGTGATAGGTTGGTCGTGCAACGTACTCTCGAAGTGGTTTACCACCTTTTGGGTGTGCATGTTGTTGTGTTTCACTGCATTGTTTCTGAAATCCACTGGTTGTGTTGATGCGTATTTCTGAGCAAAGTGCATTTGTGCTCCGAAGCGACAGATTTGGTCACCTATGTTATGACCATATGTTTTGCAACATTCACATTGAACCTTGTTTTTGTATTCGAACTTCTTTCTCTTACTTGCATCAATTTTTGTGATGGTTGCAGGGGTATGTTGTTGTGCGGTTGGGATAATATTAGGGTGGTCCAGGATGAAGTTTGTTAGAGCGGTGAGTTGTAAGTGCTCGGGTACCGGTTTTGTTCGAAAGCCTGGAGTTAGTCTGCGATGGTTGTCTAGTTGAACCAGGAGGCAGCATCCTGCCGTATAATTGAAGTGTGTCATTGCTTGATACACTAATTCGTGACTTTGTTCGAATTCCGTATATTTGTGATTACGGCTCAGTCGACATGTTCTCACATGTTCCTGCAGTTTTCCCACATAGGTGCCAGGGTCATCTTTTGCTGTCCATTCTGGGCCCCAGCCGTTTTGGGTGGGTTTTAAGTAGTCCAGCGAGTGTCTGGCTAATGCATATAGGGCTTCGTATCCCCTGCTGTGCTGGGAATATTGGGAGATGAGGCCCCGTAGGAGGAGGTGTTCTGGGGGAAGAAGGCGAGAGATGCGGYGATAGATATATGCACCAATCTTCTTGATATTTTCTTCAGTTTCTGTGTGGTCTGGTGGGATGCATGTCTCCAAGTTTGGTAGATCATCCAGGTGTACCAGGGGTAGGCTCTCCAGTTGCATCATTCCGTATAGTTCATTGTATAAAGCTGTGAATTCTGCGGAGGTGAGGTACCGGTTAGTAGAGGGAATAAGGTTGTGGTTGAATTCTTTGAAATCCATGGCATGGATTGCTTTGCTAATCCGATGGTTATGGTAGTGGGTTGATTTTTCATCCCATATCTGGTGTTTCCTATCGGTGTAGACATCAAAGTTTCTGTCACTATCCCCTCTGGTATCAAATGGTGTGTTACTGCCAATTGTAGTCGTCGGAGGGTGTGGTTGACTGTAGTCTTTGTTGGTGTTGTACTGATTTTTATTTTGTTTTTCTTTTTGGTATTGTGGTGGAATCTTGGGATTGTTTGCCATGATGTCGTTGACTTGGCAGTGAATTAGGTCTTTGAGTGTAGGTGATTGGGTTACATATGCATGAATGGTTGTATCAATGTCAGTGTGGAAGTGGTTGGATGCCACAATCGACTTAAGAGACGAGGTGATTTGGGTGTTGATAGTTTCTTCGACTGTTGGGTTGGTCTCCAAATGCTCCTTAACTGAGCGGGTGATATCCGCTTCCGCTATGTGCTTGGTGATTGCTATATTCTCCTGTGCGGCTGAAGCTGATTGGTCCATTTCCTGGGTTATTTCCTGCTTGTGTGACGTGAGTTTTGCCAGGTGGTTGTTGCAGATCTGTTTTAAGTTGTTCTTTGTTTTGGTGAGGTCGTTGTTGACCTCCTTGATTGTTTCACTTGCTTGTGTGATGATTTCTCTTTTAGCTTGGGAGATGACAGTATCCTTCAGGCTCTGTACTATGTGAGCCTTATGTTCTAACTTATCATGGATGATATCTTGAATGGTTGATTCGAGCGTGGATTCCATGAGTCGGGTTTGTTCAAGAACTGCACTTGTCACTTGAATCTCAATGGCTTTTGTTCGTTCTTGCAGTTGTGCTGTGCTCTGTTCGACAAGATCGTTGAGTTTATCAGTGAGTTCTGCTGTGATGAGGGTGGGTGTCTTGGTTGTAATGCTGCTTGCTTCATCCCTGAGGTGTTTGAGTTGAATTGTCTCATTCTTAATTGAGGCGAGGACTGTGTTAGCCTTATTTGTTCGTTGGTCCAGGGCCCAAGTGGTTGTTGCAGCCGCATCCAGATTGGTTTGGAGAACTTTATTTGTATGAAGGGTGTCTTGAATTTCTGCAGTTTGGGACTGTAATTGAGTCTTCAAGGTGTCGACAGTTTTGAGGGCTGTTTGGAGATCTACTGTTGCTGTGTTGAGCTTCACTTTGGTGGTATTGAGGTCCTCCTTGGTGGCGTGTAGTTCAGTTGTGGTGGCTTGAAGGGCTGTTTCATATCCCATTTGCAGTTGGCTTATCCGTTGGTCAATTAGTGCAAGGTGTCTTGTCCATTTGGTGTCTTCCTCCATCACCAGTTGCGGGGGTGTTTGTGGGTCGAAGCTGTCTTTAATTGATTGGATTTCCGTATCAATTGTTTCATATTGTTTTTCGTATTGTATAATACGGTCGTCGATACTCCGCTTCGTTGGGCTTTCCATGTCCTCCGGGTCAGTTAGTTGTTCTTCAGAGGATGCAAGTGATGTTCCAYGTGCTTTTTGATGTTCCTGCTGTTCCCGTGCAAAGCGTTGGATGAGTGCAGCTGGGGGAATGTCCAATGAGCTCATAGAGGATTCACTATCGCTGGTTATGGTAGGCTGTTCCTTTGTGTGGTGGTTCTGTTCAGCGAGTTTTAGGAGGTCATCCTTTGAGGGGGGGTCTGGGCTATTTGGAGTAGTCGCTAGGTGTGCTGGTGGTTTGGATTGTCGGCGAGCTGGGATTGCTTCCGGTGGGGTTTCCTTATTGGGTGGGAGTAGTGAGTCCATATACTCGATGAAGGCAATACTGTAGTGGTATCTTGTGTCTTTGTCGATGATTTGGAAGTGGTTCCGGTGTAATAAGTCCTGTAAGTTATCACCCAAGGCTGTGATTTTATCCGTGCTGTTGAGTTCCTTAGTGTGAACCACGGTTAGGTGAGTCGCATAACTCGTTGGAGTTGGTGGATATTTGGGTTTGAATGGGAAGAGTGTTTTGTCGTATATTGCTGGTGTTGAGTGGAGGGGAAATACTCTTTCCAGGGCTCTTAGTTCTCTCTGTATCGTTCCATCGTACGGAGAGAGCTGTAGTTTTCTTCCTGTGGATATTGGAGTGTTTCTCGGGGGTGTTCTGGTGAGGTATCTTCCGATTGCTGGGGTCTTGGGTTTGGGTTTTCGGGTGCTGCTCCTGCTCGGTGTTGCTCCCCGTACGTGTTGTTGTGTTGGAGTTGTCGACTTCTTCCTTGTCGGCGCCATGGTAGGTGTTGTTGTTATGTTGACACCAGGGTTCTGAGAATTTGTACCGTAGAGTGCTACGTGATTTTGTACAGGGTTCTCTTCCGGGGAATTTCGTTTGTGAAATTCGACCGGAGTGTTGTCTTAAGCTTGAAAGTGCCTGTGGCGCTCTGAGCGAAAGAGAAAGAAAATCAATCTATTGGAGTGGAATTGTTGTTCTGATGATGGTGATGAGCTGAGGTATGGTTGTTGTTGCTCATAACCTGCGAAATGTATGTATGCTCTTTAGTGCCGTATAAYTAYGTGTTTACAATAAAGAGTGAGCAGAGTGAGTGGTTGAGCCTATCAGCACTGTCACTCACTATCTATTCGTGATTTACTACGTGTTACTGCCTCACAACAATGAACATGGCCGAACGAAGAAATACGGAAATTATTGATACGAGTTCTACAGTAATAGGAATATGGGGAATATGTTGAATCAATTGATTGAAGCAGGGTGACATTGTCCCTCCTAACTTCCCTGGATTGGTGGTTGGCATATTTTGGAGTCTGGGCATGACAGGAAAAATCAGATCATCAAGAGACACAGGTAATACAGATTTTTATTGCTTTTTGACAAGGATACTTGGTGCTATGAACCAATGCAAACTAATTTTCATACCAGGAAGGGTAGTAAGCATTTGATAACTGAGATAATTGCTACATAAAGAAAGCCACCTATGGATGAGATGTGTACTATAGCATAAAGAGGATCCAAATGTAAAGAGAAAAAAGCCGTTCTATGATCAGAGAAGTGGAAGAAGAGTTGGGAGGTTACTGGAAGGGAGAGCATTGTTCACCTTTTGTGTAAGGAGATTGAACAAGAAGGTAGGAACCCTGAAACAGAAGTGGAGTTCAAAAAGCTAGCGAGAGAACAATTCCAAGCCAATAATGGTGCTGGAGACATGATATTGCCAGCAATTAGCAGTGTCTATTGACATTATTGACAAAAATATTCCTGACAAGAAATTGCATCAACTGGGATGTCTCTCCAATATTGTTGATGAAGCTATCTTGATCATTGGACCAATGGCAGGGGTTTAGTGTTACCATGAATAGTACTAGGTGCCCCAAAAAAACACTCTTGTTGAAGATTGAGAATAAAATTATAATCATAATATTGATAGAAGATATGATTGCACTTTATCTTGGACCTGATGTGAATAGAATTGTAAACAAGGCAGTAAGGATTTCAAATGTAAAAAAGATATCATGTGTTGAGCAATTAATAATGATTTTTTAGGGTTGCATGTAGCAACACCTGCTAAAACAAAGAAGTTTGGTATGAGCTGGCATGATTTGAAAATAAGGAAAGGGGGAATAAAAATAATTTGTTGGCCAGAAACAATTTTTGGAATTCAATAACGTTCAAAAAATACAAACTGTGGGTTTGTGAATTGAAAATCACCCTACACTTGCTCCGTACAAAAAAGGATGCAACAATAAGGGTCACACTGTAGATTTTTTAAAAGGCCCCAAATACTTTTTGTGAGGATTTAGGCACATGCCCAAATACCTTCCTATGGCAGTAACCCCACCAATTCTGGAATACTTCATGCAGAAAGTAGTCTCTCAAACATTTGTTGCAAGTCAACTACAGATACAGTAAATTATTTTTCACTACTAATAATCTTCGATTATCATTAAGCATCACATTGCACTCATACTACTAGTGCTACTAGTACCAGTCAATTTTTAAGCACCAGTAATATATGATGCAAAAACAAGTCAAGTGTCCAAAATTATTTTTTGCTAGCCAACTACAGCAGCTCTACAAGTAATGGTTTACACCCCCATATGCTCTAATATCAATGATCAGACACTGCTAGTAATGTTGATTATTTTGAAGCAGCAAGTCTCCTTGATTTTCTGTTGCATGAAACTGACTGGCTAAAGTATGCCAAATCAGTCACTGCCATCATATCTTATGCACAGAAACCACCTATCATAGTAGTTCAAATGTTTACCAAAGTGATTGGGGTTAGGTTCCTACTAGTACTACTAGTATTAGTAGTGCTAGTGGTGGCAGTATGTGCAACAACTAGTCTACTAGTTTGGGTTGTAAATTATGAGCAGGCTTTTGAAATAATGTTTGAGGGTTGCTTACTAAGTGCATTGTTTCTAGTATGAGTACTGGTTTGTGTACTACTCAGATAGTCAAGTCACTCAATAAATTTGAGTTCATCCATTCTTCTTAGTAGAAAAAGTGGCACAGCATGGTGGTTGGCTCATGCATTGGCTAGAAGAGTTCATCCAATGTTGAAAAAGTGGCACAGCATGGTTGGCTCATGCACAAAAATTAATGGACAAATTTGCATATGTAAACTGTGTGGGAGCACTTAAAAAAGTAATACTGTGTAAAATCACAATATCTAGTACACCCCATGAAGACCACCCAGGGAAAGGCATTTTTTCATGTGCAAGCACAAAGCTTCACTTTCCAAAAAAAAACACCATCATTTCACAGCAAAAATGAACATTGCAGTTGTTCCTGACCTCTGCAATGAGGAAACACTGCAATATGGTACTGGCCTTCCCAAGAAATAGTAGAAGAATAAACCTAAAATACCGCCGACTCACTAGCTTTAAAGAACAAGAGTACCACCAACAGAGCAAGAGCCACCAGTGCCAAAGCCAGCAAGAATGTTTCTTTTGTGATGCCTGTTCCTGATATGGGGAGAAAAACGGGATGCCCTAGACTCGACCAATAAACTTCTTAAGAAGGCATTCATATTTGCATTAATGGTGAATAAGAGTGTGGTAGAAAATGGCAGTTATTAATAGGAGATGCATGGCATCGTACCACGTATAACCGTCGTATTATTCAAATCTCCGACACTGCGATATCTCAGTACGCGGCTCCGGATCGGGCACTCTCTTTCTTTTGTTCCCGTCCTGGCCTTGAAATAGATATGTGTAACTCTGGTTTGTTTGCTGATTTCTCCGTGCTTTCGTCTTGTATTTAAAATCCCTTATCGAGAGAGCTACTTTGGTGTGGATCCGCAATCGATCATCTATTTCCCTCCAATACCCTCTGTTGTCCCACTCGAGAAAGCGACCTCCTAACGATTCGATTTCCTCAATTAACTGTTCTGCTAACTCCGCTTGCGTTGTTTGGGAGACAATGGAGGGGATTTCGTGTTTGGATTCTATCATGCACCGAAAGCGTACGTTGCCACCATGACACGACATAGACGTCCCCGACCGAAAGATAACATCGTTTGATCCCGGACATTCTATGATAGATGAGGAGTCATCGTTGTTTCCTCCAGTCATTTTAACCACTTCTATCATCCTTCTGAGTTTAATCCATTGCTTCAAATATGTTGTTTTGATGTTTCCAGTATCGGTCAAGGGAATGAGTTCGACCGGTATACCATACCCCTTTACGCAGTATTGTAGCTCAATATTTTCGCCTTCATTCAAATCATGGCGTTTGGTTTGTTTTGCAGGCCGTCATTTCAAGCGAGCAGCGAGCCATGAGTGGCGTAATGAAAGATCCAAAAAAAATACGGACATTCTGCGTCAGGTCAAGTGGATCACACATTCATAACAGAGACTAATCTGTGAATACAAGAACGACACACTGAGATGCATGTACTGCTGCGCCAAAATAATGGTCACGTACCGACATGGAACTTCATTCGCTGCATATAGTGTGACATGGACAAAACAAATAAGGTTCGCATCATGTGAAAGAAGGGTGTATCTGGTAGGCAAAAGTGAAGGGAGCATGTCCGTATTGGTAAATTATCGTACACTCGCTTCAAGAATATGACCCTATCAAGCTTGATGTTGTTAACCTTGTCCCCCTCGGGCATCTTTGTTCCCGGCCAAACGACAGAAGTGATTCCTTTTCTCTGCGTCTCCACATCTTCTGATGCTGAAAGCATCAGATATATAAGAATCTTCACCTACGAGAGATAACATGATCCATGTATTCACCGATGAGCTGGTTAGATGGGCGGGTTGCATTGTTGACTATAAAAACTTGCATTTGGTGTAGCATCGAAATCAAAATTGGACAATTTCAAACTTACTCTTGTTACCAAAGACGACTTGATTCCAAAGCCACCGACAGATACGAAAATACGTCTCCCACTTCGATCTCGAAAGGGTAGCAGCTGCATTCGACCCGCACGAAATAGCTGCATCTCCTCCCTGTTGAAATCACTCATCTGTATCTGCCGCCTCAGGGCGAAGTCTCCGAATATTTCCAACAAGAGGTCCAGGAAGCTTAACATCCGCTTGGCGGCTTTTCGCACCTCGAACAAATCAGAGCGAAGAAACCTCAGTCTGAATCCTTCGCTGTTCACATAGGTTTGCGGAAACTCCTGGCTGTGATCGTAGGCTATCTTGTTGGGTGTTCTGTTGATCTCGTCTTGCATATCTCTAAGTGCTTTGGAAAGCATCTCCGGCGTTTCTTCGGGGGCAAAATTTTGCACACCGTGTATTTCTTCGTTGATTGCATTACGGTCTTGCAGGGATAGCTGAAGAAGCTCATTCGAAAGAAGATCGTCCACCTTCACCTTCGATACATCTGTAGCCGAAATAGGAAATTTTGAGAGCAGCTCTTTGACATCGTTTGGATTGTCTGCCAAACCATCAGGGGGAAGAGGGGCCCTTTCTGGTATATTTCCATTCCTTATCACCATTTTGTTTTGTGGAACCTTTCTGTTCCGATCTGTTTTTTGTTCCTTCTGAAACCTATGGTATTGAGAAGCTTGCGTTTGTGATTCTTACTCGTCCTTAACAGCGCAACTAATGGATTACTAGTGCAGTCTCTAATTTCGTCTACCCCTAGTACGTCAATCCGGGGATTGTCACTCTTCGTGAAACCGAGTGGTGATGGTCGAGTCTTCAATGGTCTGCTTGATAAGAACTGTTGAAAAGGTTGTGTAATTTTTCATGACGTAACGTACATTCCGTAAGCAATTGTAGGTAGCTATTTTTATTTAGGCCAGTACCAGAACACACGAGATACACACAAGTCGTTCTCCGGAAGATTGTAGAACAGTACCGTTGTACGAGTACAGTACACGTACTCGTTGCCTTCAAAACAGGTGCACCGACGGAACGCAACTAGCCGGGTACTGATAATTTTTTATCATTGATTGCTGCGCACCGTGTAACAAGTACCAGTAGCATTCTGGGACCTGTGCAAGTTCCTAACTGTTCGAGTGTACTTTGTTGCTGACCATTACAGTACAGTAGAGTACTATTGAAAAACATTTTCAAGTGAATAACCATAAGTATGGGCGTTGCTATTTATGGTGCACCAGTGTAATAGGTTGCTCCTTGCTCCCCAGAAGATTTCTTCTTATTAACATACTTCTGGAACAAGCACTGGAGATGACGCGCGCGTAGTGTACAACGTCCAGACAAATATTGGTATACCTTATGAGAAGAACGAAATTGGTCGCAATCACATAAAAAATATATACTCTTTATCGAAAGAATAGGCCTTACTGTATCATTGTTACGAAAAAATTATTATCATTGAGTTAATAGCCTTCTTTACGAGATTTAACATACTCACCTTGAAGTTATTATTTTCTGTGTAGATAAGATTTTAAAATCCCCATTACTAGGCTGTTCAAAAACCTACGCAAACTTGTTGATCAAACTGGGGGATATATGATATTTGAATGAATTGATGAAATAATGGGTGATTCCCGTTATTCCAGACAGACCAAAAATTTAATGAAAATGACTCTAGACTTAGCGCCTTTAGAACTGGTCAAAGCGGCCCATCCTAAATACTCTACATTTAGAGAGGAATCCTAGAATAAAAATTTCGAGTCCGTTGAGGGACTCCTAGAAGACTCAACAGAAAGCCCGCCAAAATTAAGACTCCGTTGGTGTTATACCTGTAGTAAACAACAAGAGCAACAAGAAGCAACAAGAAGGAGGCGCCTCCATTCACCATGGCGTCTCCTCTGTTTAGAACAAGAATGCTGGCACAAAGGCGCCTGTTGCACCATAGAAAACAATGTCCTCTCCGGTCGATTTAGTTGCTATTTACTACTATTACTTCTCTCTGTTGCACCAAAGAGAGCAAGAGGAGGAGGAGGCCGGCCATTCTTGCTGTCCTCCCATTCCCCCCATTATTTTCCTTAACATGGTGGACGCTGGTGTTGCAAACAACGCCAACGCTGGTGTTGCAAACAATGGCAACGCAAACAACAGCCGCAGAGCCGGTACAGTGAACTACTCTGAAGAAGAGCTAGAGAGCCTCATGGAGTTGATTTTGGAGATACTCCCAATCGATTCAGAACAGTGGAATACTGTTGTTGCCAGACACGCTGTTAGCTTTCCCTTCGATAGAAGCAAGAAATCCATCAGGAACAAGTACAGTGCTGTGAAAAGAATGAAAAGCTCCACCGGAAACCCCCACATGCCTAGGTACGTGAAGCTTGCRCGTCGGGCCCATTTCTTGATTGTTGGAAAAAAGGCAAATATTGGTACAGGAGAGGAGGACTTTGATATGAAGAAAGGCTTCATAAAGAGTGAGGCTAGGGGGGTTTGGAGAGGATCCCCTCTGCTGAAGTTTCCCTTGGAAGACGTCCGATCCTTGCTGGTGCTGATGAATCAGACGACTCGATGATCAGACCATCCAAGGTTCCATCGTCTACTCCGAGTAAGAGATCCCATTCAAAGGTTCCTGACGCTACTGTATTCAATGAGTATCTGAAGAGCCAACAAGCAAGTGACAATGAAAATTGTGAGATGGTGTTGGAACAAGCTCAGGTTGCAAAGGAGGCAAGCCAAATTGCTAAAGAGACCAATCAGATGTGGAAGGATGCTCTCGGAATGGCAATGGCTTGCTTTCAGCAATGGCAAAACAACAATGCTTACCAGCCGGATGACAGTAAACGTCCTCGAAACGACCGAGAATGAGAATCCCACCATGGTGAAAACGCCATTGTCGATACTCGTAAACACTCGTAAACAGCACTAATACTAAACAAACACTAATTCAACACTGATTCAAAGGATCCAAATGAAGTTAATGAACTAATCAGCAGCAGCAGTACTGTACGAGTCTATCATCCTTATATCGCGTTGCAACAGTACATTGTAGTACTGGTTGTACTTGTTCCATCTCTCTTTTCTTGGATGGGTTTTCGTGCATACCCTGTATCGGTTTTTGTGTATACCAATGCAGGATTAGAACCCACGAAAAGTGAGTATTCCCACRAAAACGGACAAAAAACGGTTTGTATCGGCATGCACATGCAGCCCGGATTGGCTTGCACATGGCATGTATCATTGACTTATCTCCATTCCAGTATATCAGGGAACTTATATTCATGACAGTATAAATCGATATGTAGTCCGGCATTGGACGAGTGCATTGGAGTGTATTAGGGAGTGCGGCAGCAGGCTCCGGGGAAGTATACACAAAAACCGAAGAACAGCGAAAAGCTGTACAGCTTGCTGCTAATAAAGCTCCCCTCCCCATACTTCATTCATCGAAGACTGCTAACTCAACAGTAGTTCAACAGTGCTTAACGAAACCAACCGTTCCAGTCTTTCAACCATGTTGGTGCCCTTGTAACACCAGTAAGTGCATCGCCTGTTGCGTGTGGTGCTGTGTTTGTCGATGCTAAATTGCGTTTATCCGTGTCATTGTTCTATTTGGGTATTCACATTTAGTAATTCATTTGCTAATTGCTTACTAATCTTTGTTACTAATTGTTGTTACTAACCTTTCTTTTTACCACACTACTAATCTTTCTTCTTCCTCAATCGAAATGAACCAATCGACCATGGGATTTGACCTTAACCAAACAAGCCATTTGCGTCAGGGGACAGCTTTTTGCGAGCTCATGCTTCCTATATGGTTCTTCAACAGTTGCTGGAGGCGTCGACATGAATGTTGATAGGATCTGGTTGTGTCCTACAGTACTGCATTGGTAGTTATAGAGGTTGACCAACAAGCTCATGATGATCTTCCTGTCTCCAAGCTCCTCCAAGAACATCCTGTCCTTGATTCTTGGAAACTGTCCTTGAATCATCCTCATCCCCCACTCAGACATCTGTCTCAAGGAAGTCGCGTCCCTATTGATGAGGAGGAGGTCCTCCTGTTCGGGGTCWTGCTGTGAGCTTTTGATGAGGATATGGGCTCTTTCCTTCAAGGCAAATGCTGAATCAACCACGACCTTTGCATTGGACTGTGCATGAACCTCCTCAATCCTGTCATACACACCATGGTCGGCAATGGCGCTGTCATGCCAAGCCCCGGGACAGTTGTAGACTGCAATCCTGATTCTACCATCTGGTGCAAAGACAAACACACTGTTGACAAAGGTGTTCTCTTTCCAAGCATTGTAGAAGGCTCTCTGTTTGAACCAGTCTTCAGAGGCTTCAATGGCACTCTTTAGACCATCTGCAGCAGCCCAGACCCTTTTTTCTCCAAGCCTTGGTGGATACTTTTCTCCAATTGCCTTAACATAAGCATCCACTTCTTCCTCTGTTGGGACACTCACCATGGCCTCTGGATGCTTGTGGAGAGCAACAAGCATCACTCTCCTTGAAAACTTGAGCCACTTATACATCACTGTGGATGTTAAGCCAAACGCCATTGCCATAGACCTTGCAGCAGATCCTCTTGTTCTGTACCAGTAAAGGACTATTCCAATAGCACAGACAGCATCAACCTCTCTCTTTTTCCCCTTGGGCTTTCCACTGGGGAAACAAGGAACTTCCACAATTTCATTGGTGTCCCTGTCGACAGTGAACTTGTTGTATACTGGAGCAAAGACGTCCACGAGCTCCCTGAAGACTTTGTGGTCTATACCACAGCAGTCGAGGAGTGCCTGTTCATCCCCTGAGTGGAAGAGGTGAAGGAAGGGGGAATGAGCATATCTCCTGATTGCAATCCTTGGAGTTCTCCTATCCCTTCTCCGACACTCCTCAGGAGAAAGCTTCTTCTTGTAACTTTGGTTATTCAGATGAATATACCAGTACATCGTAATGACCTTGACTACTCCCATTGTTGACGTTGCCTTCTTTCTTGCTGGGAGGAAACTGTTGTCTTTTAGTGTGTTTGTTGTCAACTCACAGGCTAGTAATTAGCGTAATGCATGAACTCATTTCCTGGTATCGAATCAGAAATAATAAGCAGAAACTGTGTTCATGTTTTACTATGCAATGGATACGTACGTACTGAATAGGATACGTACGATACAAAGCTTCGAAGAAAGGAATGAAGGAGCATACCATTCCTATGTACCTATC